AGCTTTAGACACCTATAGACTTTGAGCTTTTCAGAGTACTGTGCACTCCACTAGCAACTCTGTCATCGCCTTGCCAGCCTGTTTTCCCTGTTAACACCTCTTTCTGCTGAGCAGTCTGTACTCTGATTTCTTCCTCAGTCTCCTTGCTGTACTGTGACTTCCAATGTAGGGAAACCTGCTCGTATTAGCTACTTTCCCATCTCCAGGAAAAATAGCCAGCATCTACAATGTAAAGGAGGAGAGGTTTGTTTTGGTGCTTGGTTATCAGAGGATTCAGTCCATGGTCAGTTGATTCAGGGCAAAAATGGAATAGCGGAAGGGCTTGGTGAAAGAATCCTGCTCACTTCATAGCAGCCAGGAAGCAAGGGGGGTGCAGAGAAAGGAGGGGAGGAGAAGAGAAGAGAAGAGAGGAACAGGAGATAGGAATATACCTTTCCTGGTCAGGCTCCCAGAGACTTATCTCCAACTAGCCTTGTCCTCCCCTACAGCACATTCAGCTGTTGATCACCAACAATCACCAACAGATTAACCCATTGTTGTATATAGCACCCTCATGTTCCAACCGATCATTTGCCAAACACCCGAGCTTTTGGGGAAACATTTTAGATATAAACTACAGCACTACCATTCCACAATCCTCCCGTCTGACTTTACTTCTATATCTCAGTGCTTCGCTCTAGTTCCTAGCTGCGCCATCCTAGGGAATCACCTACCCAACTTTTGGCCCTTGTTCCCTGCATTGCTATTCTAGCACTGGGACACAGAGCAGGTTCTAAACAAATTTTTGCTGAGCAGCTGAGAGATTCACAAAGCTCCCTAAAACTTGATCATGTTACTTCTTGGTTTCAAGTGCTTCAGGGGTTCCCACTGTCTGGGACAAACCCAAACCTACCATTCAGGGATCACTGAGCCTCCCAGCACTACCTCCCACCTGAACCATTTGTATTCTGTGGCCTGGCCATCAAGAGGAATAGCTCCTGACAAGGCATGTGTTAGGCGTGATGGCTGAGAATGAATTCTGGCTCTGGAGGCAGATGGAAAGTGGCTAAAACCTGAAGGAGTTACTCTTGTCTGTGCCACAGGTTCTTCATCTGTGCAATGGGATTAATGGTATCATCACTTAATAGGGTTGTTGTGTGGATTGAATGTGTGAATTCGTGTCAAGCGCTCAAATCCATGTCTGATACGAATACACTCTTCATATCCCTTACCCTGGAATTACTATTATTGTTATTAACATATGCTGTTTTCTTCAACCTGCAATATGCTTCTTCCTTTTTGCCTGGCTGATTCCTTCCTATCTGTTATATTTCACTTCCCAAAATATGACCCTTCTGAATTGGTTTTGGTAGCTAGCTATGGATAGTTAAAGGCATAAGTGAGAAGTCAGAAAATGTGGATTTAAATCTTGGTGCTACTGTTACTGCTTTCCTCTACTCTCTCCTTATAAAGGTGTGTTCTTTATTTGTAAAATTAGGATAATAAATAATAGTACCTCCCTCATTAGAGTTGTCAGGAAAATACGTAGTTTATAAATCTATTTAATATCTACTAAATTTTTCATTTACATCTGGTCTTTTTGTTAGCAGATTTTTTTTTTTACCTTATATCAAAAACTAGCCATTATAGGTGTAATCCTTTTACTTGTTTCTCTTGGCATCAGGACCACTGGTTACTAAGTTTAAAGACAGGATTTGCCAGGCAGGTGGTACACTCATGTAATCTCAGCACTCAGGAGGCTGAGGCAGGAGGATCACTGCAAATTTGAAAACAGCCTGGGCTACACAGTGAGCCCAAGGCCAGCCTGAACTGCCATAGCAAGACCCTGTCTCAAAAGGACAAAATAAATAAATAAAGTCTTTTTTTCATCGTTATATCACAAGTGCTTGACATATCAGTCAGTTTAGCTGTTTTGTCAATAAATGTAACCCTTTGCACGAAGTCCTATATAACAAAGGACTATGACAGGAAGGGAAGATTTCATGCAGAGTCCTCAGAGGGAGATGCTTTACTTTCTTTAAAAAATACTGAAGACTGAAGGTTGACTATGTCAGTCAGCACCAAGGAAATGCAAGAGGAAGCTGGCTCTTGAAGGACAGAGACTTGAATCCCAAAGCAGACGTGACATGATTTTTCAGTGGGTTTGACTCTATCACAGTGGCTCCAGAACAGCATTGTGAATGAATAATTAATTCTTTAAGAGCAACACAAAGTCTTCTTTTGAAACAGTTGCTGATAACAGTGGTGTGAATACTCTCACCATGACACCATCAAGTTAGCATTGTGATGCCAGCTAACCGCAAATTCCTCAAAATTGACCCACTAGTTAGTACTGAGCTGGTTTCAGCACACCCCTAGCAAACTTCTTACTTCATTTTTTTCTTCCTCTAAAATGGAACCCTATAATGTGACTACTCTGTCTTCAAGTGTCAACATGGAAAGGGGTGTCAAATATGATAGATCCTTGAATGTGGATACTGTGAGGTTGTCTGCTCACTCTTATTTTGAAATTCTTCCCATCCATGGACTGTTGGTGTTGGTGTTAGGGCTGGGATCTGTGCCCACAGTTTCCTCTCAAATGCAGCTGTCCGGGTTCTGCTCAGAGTATATTTTGTTTTATTCTCCCAGTCAGGACTATGCTTTTTGCAGCAGACTGACTCAATTAGCCTTTCATTCCAGAGTCCAATTGCAAGTCAATTCTGAGGTTGTTAAGTGAGATGAGTCTGGTGGCATTAGCCTTGCAGTGAAGGACAGTAATCCACATCACAGAGTTGTTGAGTTAACAGTTTGCTCCAGAGACTCTGAGAAACAGGAGATGCATCTCTAGGGAGCAGGCAAGGGATGAGGGACTGCCTGGTCAGAGCTCTGCTCAGTCCAAATTGTATGTGGAACTTTAGCTCCAGCTGCCTGGACCACAGTTGGCCTTTGCAAAGTTAAAAACCAAGCACCACTAGATCATTAACTTTCATGAGCAGGAAGATTCTTCTGAAATTAACGCCCCGTTCAAGCTGGATGCCATCAGAGCCAGTTGAGTAAGCCTGAGCCACTTTTAGAAATTTCCTCCAAAAAAATAAATCCTTTAAGTGGACTACAGAAAATAGCTAGGTTTTATATCCTTCAATGTGTTCAGTTAAAATCAGAAAACACCAGTGAGGCATGGACTATAGCTAAGATCCAGGCTCGTATATGCACTCAAACGCAAGCTTCATTGGGAAAATCTGGCCAAGTCACTTAACTTCAGCACATGGCCCTGCTTGGGAAGTGTTACACAGGGCCTCTCTGAGAAGTGTCAGGTGCTGTGAAAAGCAAATAAAGCAGGCCTTCCAGAGCCTGCTCCAGGTACTCACTAACCAGGCACCTAGAATGTACAGTACAGAGGTTCCCAGATAGGCACAGTGAGTGAGGTGTGGGCATAGCTGTTTACAGGGTTCAAGGACAGAAACACATGAGCACCGTGCTGGCTGCACAGAGAACTGTGAACTTAGATTGTTTATTATGCTTTTTAATGCCCCTTCTGTTTCAAAATATATGGAAAGAACATTGACGGTATCTCCCACAGACCATCATAGGCCTTTGTGATTTTGCCACACATCTCCCTCACTAAACCAACTTTGTTAATGTCATAAACTAAATGCTAACTAAATGCAATTTCTTGGGTGGAAAAAAGTAAAAAAAGAAAAAAAAAAAGAGATCCTAGGTATGTCAGCAGACAACCCAGGGGTGAGCTAAAGACAGAAGAAAACTGTGATAACACCCCATTATCTCCCATAATTGCCAGATAATTTAAATTCTCCTGCAGTCCATTGTATTCTCCCAAAGAAACAGAGTTGTTGTCTGCTGAGATGACCTCAGAGGTCACCCAGTTCTCATTCAGGATTACTCCAACAATGTCCTCTTCAGACTGTAGAACAACCAGCTAGCCACAACTGAGCTCTCTTCCTTCCTAGACTGGCATATATATCTGTGGCTTCTCTTTACTTCTGGGTTTCTACATCCTCACCACTCAGCAGGGCTTCCGGCTGGCCTGTGTCAGTCCCTGGAGAGTTCCTAAAGCACACACAGAGCTGCACTTTGACCAGCCATAGGCCCACTGCGCACTGCCCACAGTAAACCTTACCCATCCTTCTGGCCTTTCACGTTGCTTCTTCAAAGGCAGCCTCCTCGGTGCTGCTGGGCTGGGGTAAATCACTACCCTGGGATGGGGTGTGAGAGAAGACTTAGACGGAGAGGTACACATTCTTAAAGCCTGTGGCAATTATGGGAGCAGATGGGCTGTAGGATCCTATTTTGATGCCAGGGACATGTTTCTGTACAAAGTAAATATTTTCCCACTGTGGATCTCTGGTGAGTGTGTGGAGAAGCATATTGCCTAAAGATGCAAATAAGTCTAGTCAGAAATAAATATTGAATAAAACTTCAAAGCCTCTAGATTTCTTGAGTTATAGGCCCTGAAGACTTCTCTCCAAATAAGCAGACACACACAGGTGGAGGAGAGCTTAGGGAGGGAATAGTTGGGAGATTTTTAAAGAAAGGATGCCAACATTTTAATAGTTCATGTTCTGTTTGTGTGTGTATGCAGAACAAGGCATGTCAACAAAGGAATAAAGAGAAGTTATGCCTGTCCAGAGACTTAGAATTTTTTTCTTCTAAGTATATTTTTTATTTACAGTTGACACATAATATGTTATACATATTTATGGGATTCATGTAACACTGTAAGACATGTACACAATATACAACGATCAGATCAGTCATACTCATTACCTTGAACATGTATCATTTGCTTGCATTGGGAACATTCAGAATTCCTCTCTATGAGCTACTTCGTAATGCAATTATTTGTCAATCATAGTTACCTTCCAGTGTGACAGAAAATTAGAAATTATTCCTCTTTCCAACTGTACCACTATACTAATTTACCATCCCTTCTCTAGCACCATCCTTCCAGCCCAGAAGCTTGGGAAGTTTTAAGCACATTTCACCCTATTTTTCCATTGTAGATCTCGCCTTGCAGATTTTTTTACCAACTGCCAGCCAGAGTCAAGGTCTGTCAGCAGCTGTCTGAAGGAGAACTACGCAGACTGCCTCCTCGCCTACTCAGGGCTGATTGGTAAGATGGGGGAAGGCAGGATGGGAGAAGAGTCCGGTAGACAAATACATTCTTTCATTGTAGCCTGATGATGTCTACACACGTGAAAATCAGTAGCCTTCTGTGCTGGAGTTTTGACAATAGGCTCTGTAGAATTTGCCTGTTTAAAAAATAATAAGAACCAGAATAATGGGTAAACAAAAGACAAAGAAAAGAAAAAGATAAGGGGCAAGGAAACCGCAAGCATGAAAATGAGTGACATCTCTCAGATAGGGAGCTGACCGTGCAAAGCACAAGCAGCAGAGGGGGAAAAAAAAAGCCTAGTTATGGAAGAAGAGAGCAAGTCAAACAAAGTTAATTGAATTAGACAACTTTACAGTGAAGGAACTTGGAAGTCATTCTATCTGGGGAAATCAAAAAAGCTGTTTCCCAGAAATGGCCTTTTGGAAATAATGCTAAATACCAAGGTCCATCTTGTCATTTGCATTCTTGGTAATTCAACTCTCTATGTGCAGGGGGATCCATAGACTAATATTCCCCTGCTGGAAATACTGTGTCATAGCAAATGCGGTATTTCCTGTCTTTGGAGGTTGTAGAGTCTAGAGGAACCATGATCTCAGCATTCAAGAGAACAATTAAGCGAGTCACCAGTGTTTAGAAAGGGAGCCAGCAAGAGGCACACTTGTGCTTTGGGAGAAGGGGGACTAGCAGGAGGAAAGATGGTGTGCTAGGTGCCAGGGACAACAGAAGCCTCCCTGTCAGGGCTCGATTGCATTTGGCATTTGAGATGGGACATACAGGGAAAAGCTGGGGAAAGAGAAAAATCGCAGTTGTCAGAGCACAGTGGAGCACTATGGTGTGCTTCACCACCAGGTCTGTGTCAGGGTCACATGCATCATCAGCAGGAAGAGCCTCCCACCAGCATGGCAGCACAGATTAAACCCTTGGTCACCAGAATGTCCTTGTCAGGAGCCTTGGAAATGCAGTGATGGTATTTAATGCAGAGATATTGTTGGTTCTGATGTTTTTGCAAGGGTACCTGTGCTCCCTTGAGTCATACCTTCCCCTCATTTTATTAGTGAGTTAGTATTCTAGATATACAGTCATGCTTTCCTCTGCATAACTAAATTAGCTACCAAATACGGAATTATAGAGATAACAAAAACCATTAAGGCACACTCATGTTTTTAAAAAATGAAAAGTGAAATAATACCAGAGAAGCTCACAGAAAAATTTAAATACCCACAACCCCACTCCTTCTCCCATAGCTAGTCACTGTGAATACTCCAGTCTGCAGCCTCCCTGGTACACAGGCTCCTTAACTCCTCTGTTAGTGGCTAAGGTAAGGTATTGCCAACTCTGCTAGAGACCTAGGCTTGCCAAACCCTTGCATGTCCCAGGAGGATGGAAAGAAGGGAGAAAGCAGTAGAGGTGGTGAGTTCCACAGGCCAACATTTATTTCAGTTTTGGGTCTGGATCTCTTTCTCAGTGCTAGTTCCTGGGTCATTGGAACCTAACTTATTTTTGCACAAAGCCTATTTCTACTTCTTTGGTATGTCATACATCCCCTCTGGTGCCTGAAATACAATGGTTTTACCTCCTCACTCAGTATTTGGGATGCCTATTGTTTTGTCAGCTAAGTTAGAGCTCCCTTGGTATTGTAGCTTAAAATTCTTAGGCCAAGTTGTAATAGGTGTCACTCATTTCCAGTTAGGAAGGAATGTAGGGCAAAGACAATATACCACTTGACCCAAAGGGTTTACAAAAATTGGTGTTTATGAACTGAATACTGAATTGGTGTTTATGAACTGAATCTTGTGGATTACTGACATCTATTATGTCTTAATTCCACTGAAATATCTAAAAACCTGAATGCTTCCTGGCATTGGTGAGTATTGCCTGGTGTAAGCCACCCCGGGAAAGACATTTGGGCTGCATTAAATATAAATGCATTGTGTAATTGTGCCATTTGAGTACTTACAGGAAAATCATGAATATCACAAAATTTAGCAAAAGGGACCACCCAGAATTTCTTTAAGGACTATGTAGTGTCCACAGACAGTAGCGTAGAGTCCTTGGCTCAGAGAAGGTCCAGTGTTTGTTTCCAATGCTTTCACAACTTAGAAGGCTATTTAAATCAGTTGAGAATCTGGTGAGCCAGAGCCTTGTTACAAATGTACAGACATTCAGGATGTGGGGGATCCGTCAAGGCTCTTAAACTTCCCTGTACTTCAGAGAGAAATGGATTCAAAGCCCTAAACAGATTTTTTAAATCTATAGACCCAGTGCTATCTCTTTATGAAGATTAATGACAGTTTTATGAAAATGCAAGGGATTTGGCAACTTACACATTCTAAGTTAATTCTCTCCTTCTGTATGACATCCATACCATTTTTGCAGGGGAAAAATACTGTAAGTGCAACTCAAGGAGTTCTATTATAATTTTTAAAGTAAACGTGTAAATTACATGCTCAAGATAAATCACCAAGAAAATATGCTGCTTAACATAATTTCCCACTCAGCAAACACAGTGCTTGTAATTATCCATGGCACATCCCTTGTGAGAGTAACATTTGTTTCTTTTCTGTGGAAAAGTCCATATCTTCACAGGAATTAAATGCCTTGTTTTTACTCTTAGGCACAGTGATGACCCCCAACTACATAGACTCCAGCAGCCTCAGTGTGGCCCCATGGTGTGACTGCTTCAACAGTGGAAATGATCTGGAAGAGTGCTTGAAATTTTTGAATTTCTTCAAGGACAATAAATGTCTTAGTGAGTTAAAAAAAAAAGGAAGAAGCATGCAAACCTATCAAGCTTGAACTGTACCTTCTTGCTTTTTGTGCCTTCTGCCTCCCTCTCTCCCCTTCTTTCTCTCTCCTTCCCTTTCCTGACTTCAACTCCTCCTGGCCACACTGCATGATGTAGCAGGCACCACATGAGTAACGAACTGAGTGCTCCTAAGATTATGAATCCAAGGACCCGAGAGAGAGCAAGAGATTCAAATGACCCACAGCACATTATGTGGGAAAGAACAGTTCCATCTGCAGATCAAATTTTGATCTTGGCAACCAGCAGAGAGTCAGTTCCCAAGGTTCTGAAAACCTGGGCAGAATATACAATGTGAGAGGTTCAGACAAATTAGATAGGTGATAGGCCTCCAAGGACCCGCTAGGAAAAATTAGAATGTTAACATCAATAGCGCCTTGGATTTGCAGGGTTGGCTCAGAGCAAAAGCAACAAACCTTGAGAGGAGGAAGCTGAGGATGCAGCCTGGAGACTTAGAATGTCAGTTATCTTGGGAAATGAGATACACAAGGGGTGTGCAGGGATGAGATGGGGGCATCCTTCTTGGAAATGGAGTCGGTTATTGCTGCAGTGTCCTTTAGGCAATTTAGAAACATGTTTCCTAAAGGGACAGAGATAGAAGGAAATGTGCCAATGTGAACAATGGGCGTCTATCAGACAGATCCAAAAACATGGTGCCAGTTCTCACAGGCACCCTGACAAGCATGCTCCAGATGACTGTCTGAGATACTTGAAAATTTCACTCACTGTTATGGCAGCCACTGTTTATGGAATGCCTTGTGTGCCTTCAAAGTCACACTACAGGACATGTAATACACATTATCTCATTTTCTAGACTCTGTACATGAATCTTAGGAGACATAAGTGTTATTATATCCACCTTACAGCTGAGTAAAAAGCCAGTATTCACATGGTTCACATGTAGCAGAGTTAGGATGAAACTCTTGGTTTCTTGTGTTACTTCCTGTCTCCTGAAGGTCTTGCTGATGCATGGTACTGCAAGAGCATAATTCTAAACATTAGAGCAAGATCTGACTTTCTGGTAGGAGGACTGGACCAAATTTTTAAGAATCGTGTTTCAGCCATTCTCTTGAGAGTGTTATCCTTAAGTGACAGTTTCTCCATTATGCTTAGGAAGCGCACACAAAAGAGCCTTTGAATGTTACTTGAAAACCTGTGTGTTATTTAATTTATAGAAAAGAGAAACTTCAGTCATTTGTTCACTAGATTATTGGAATGATGTTATAGAAATCAGTTGTTCTGATCCCCTTAGAAATAAAACAAGCTTTTGTTTTTTTTAAGTGAAATTTAAATCCACACAATTAGTCTCAAGTATGGAGGCTAAGACATTGGGCATGTCAAGGAATTTCATTTTCATTTGCTATTGACATATAAATGCATATACATATATACAAGTACATGTATCTTTTTATGTCTTGCACTCTTTTGGCAGAAAGCAAGTTTTAGTAAATCAATGGCAGTAGCATCATCATGCAAAAGGATTTTGCTCATAGTAGCTGGAAAACTTTGCCCTCACAGAGACATTGAAGTTATCCCTGCTTAATAACATTTTGGTAAAGAAGACAGTTGTCTGAAATCTTACTGCTAATGCATTTTCAATAAAAATAAATGCATTTGGCTTGCAACAAGGACCAAAGCCAGCCAGAATTTTCAGTCTTTCTATTTGTACTTGGATTATACTTTGCATAGCGCATCAAAGACACAGGATTGTAAATTCAGTCTCTTGTAAAAGGTATTAAACTAGGAAATCAATTCTACTACCTTTGGTTGGGTTGAACCTTTCCAAATTCCCCTACCATGAACACAACTGTAACTAAGTCTTTACTTCTAGTTTGTGTGTGGGAAACAGTTATTTTTAAGTCAAATGCCTGGCAGATGTAAAGGCAAAAGAGAAGAAGAGGCTGGAGGAGAAGTGAAATATCAGTTGCATCACTCAAGCCTTTATGCGGATGCCTCCTCCTCTATCAGCTTCCCTGGACCAGTAAATATCAGCTTCCTCTTTCCACCCAGCTGCTTCCCCGCTCTCTCTTGCTTCCCATTTCCCTGGGCATTTCACACCATCTATGTGTTGTAGATTTACTTATTTCCCTCTTTGGTTGCTGTTTGATACAGTAGGCTGCGCACATGGACCAGTGGTGTGAATGAATGAATGAGCAATTGATCAGCTGAACTCAGTGGGTCAGGCCAAACACACTGGGCAGTATGTCGGGAGCTTCAGTAAATGGCAGCAGGCTCTTGAATCTGTATTACTCAACAGGAAAAAGGAGAGTTTTTGTTACTACTTCCCTGGCTCATTTGAGAAAACTGGTCCCTACGTGCCCGTTTCTTGTTATTCTATCCACCAGTTAAGCCGTGTAACATGGCTAGAAGCATGAAAAAAGCATTTATATTAATCTGAAGCTGTTTCTTACAGCCCTCCAAAGTGCAAAGTTGTAGAAAACAAGCTTCCAATTTGCTAAACTTAAAGGATAAGAATTTTAGAACAATATGTCACTTCTAAGGGGAATATCAGATCTAAAATTATTCTGTCTTTTATATCAAAAAATGCCAACTAAGAGTTGTATATTAACAATTTGCACATTCAGGTCCCAAATGAAAGATTTTGATTTCTTACACAATGAATATGAAATAAAAAATTCCTAAATCCAGGCCAAATCCCTGAAGACCTGATTAAAAACTGTTTTTTATTCATTTTGGGGAGGGAACAGCATACAACCAATTTACTCTTGCCATAAAAACAATCTAATCCCATGAAATTGTAATAAGCTTTTAAAAGTTTTACATTTTAAACTTTTCATTTAAATAGGGCTGCTCCTATCTAATTATGCAGATTTTGTTTGGAAGGCTGGGAGTAGAAAAGGAAAAAATAATCTTACTTAAGTGTTCACTAGATATTGATGAGGTTTGGGGGTAGTTTTTTTCTCTTACAGAAACCGGCTACATTTTGCCTGCTAAATTAGTGTGAATGCCACTGAGTTGCTGCAGTCTTATTATTAGGGATGTTTTAAAGAAGAAAAGGCACCAATTAATTTGCTTTTAGTCTAGAATTTTGACGCAGCATGGAGATTTTGGGAAAATGGCACAGTTACAATCCCAAGTAATCGGTCTGAGGCTGGGTTTCCAAAGGGCTTGACTCATGAGTATTTCAAGGCAAGCACCTTGTTCAGCACCTGATACATATATAGGAACACAATAAATATTTGTTGCATTTGGAATATAGCTAAGTGTCCAGCTCAGTGTTTAATGACTGAATTGATTTTTGACCTCGTGACTCAGAAGACTGATTCTCAGTGTGTGTGGACTGGATGGATGGATGGGTTTTGTTCAGACAAGTCCAATCCTATAATCAGAATTTCTAGTGTGCCTCTCTGACTGTGTGCATCTTGTTACATTTGTTGCCTGACTTTGGAATTGGATTCCCTCCTGTTTTACTGCAGAAAATGCAATTCAGGCTTTTGGCAATGGCTCCGATGTGACTGTGTGGCAGCCAGCTCTCCCGGTACAGACCACCACTGCCACCACCACTACAGCCTTCCGAGTCAGAAACAAGCCCCTGGGGCCAGCAGGGTCTGAGAATGAAATCCCCACACATGTTTTACCGCCTTGCGCAAATTTACAGGTGAGAATTGGTCTGAGTTTCCTATTGGAGCTCACTTCCGGGGGGAACTTGAATTCATTTTATGAAATGCACGTAAAGATGAATGAGAAATGCTGCTCAATTTGAATCTGAAAATTGAATTTTAAACATTGAATGGAGATGGTGATGTGTCCTATATAGAAAAGAAAGATGGCCTATGAAACTGATACTACTGTTTACTAGTGATGTGGCTTTGGCCAAGGCACTTGTGTCCAGCTCTGTTAAATGAGGGATCTGGAAAGATACAGCCCCAAAGTTTTGATTGTGGGGTGGTAGAGTTGGGTTGGCTATTTACTTATGGTGTTGGTTTATGTTCTTTTCAAATTAGCATATTAAAGAGAAAGGAATCCTTGGGTTGGTACCATCATAGCTATTTAAAAATCACTGTTTCTTTCATTGGACTCTGTTCGTGAGCTGGGAAGCATTCAGAGTCCAATGAAAGACTGGCACTCATCTGGGTCTGTAAAACAGAACTACAATATAGAAACAGTGATTTCCTGCCTTTGGTCAAAAGCAGAGTGTTCTACTTTCATTGATTTATCAAAGTAATGAGTATTAGACAATTTGGTAAGAAATTATCTGTATGTTCATTAAGCTTCTGTACAAATTTTATCTTTTTGGGTATTGTCTTCCTGATGGCTGCAGAAGTAGTACTACTATGATATTCTACCCTTAGAGAAATGACTTCTGTTCGAGTGTGCAGTTGTGGATCACAAAAGCAGCACTGGGAATCCAGGAACCTCATTCTTTTCATCATTTTGTTTTTTTCTGTGTGGCTACATGGTGCCTTCTGTATCTTTACCGTGCTTGGGAAGAGAATGCTCTGTAATCTTAAGTCTCACACTTACCACTGCAATACATGCCCTCCTTCCTCACCACAAGTCAGCCTCACTGGAATTCTCAGAATTCTTCCTTTGCCAAATACCAGCTTGTACAACAGTATCAGGGCAGTGTTTCTACTTTAGTAAGTTGCTTGATGTATTTTCTCACTTCCAGCATTCCCTCTCCTTAGATGTCCTGCATGCTCTTTACCTAAGCTTTGGTATCTCTCCTTAGTTATCATGGGTCCCATTTCAACATAGAGTCTCAGAGACATACAGAAAGTAAAGAGAAGGCAAATATGGAAACTACATAGTCCAGGGTCAACCAGATGTTCTTTAGGTATCTAAACCATTTCCTGAGTCTTTAACACTTCCAGCGCAGTGGGCAGAGAGTGCCAGAGCTGGGAGGTGACTTGGAGAATAATCTTGTATCCTCTAACTCCTCCATTCTGCAGCAAGACCCCAAGTTTTACAAAAAAGAAGTGACTTATACAAAGTTCCCCAGCCAGGCATCTAGAGTCAGGCAATGGACAGGATCTCTTATTCATTTCTGAATAGGGCTCAGTGCCCACTCTGTAAGACCAGTCTTTGTTTCCTTTCGATATCCCAGATTCTAGTCTCATCAAAGACAGTGGCCACCTTATGAGGACTTTGTCCTCATAAGGTGGTAAATATGAGCCAGTGGTGGTTTCTGATCAGTAAGAATGGTGAGCTCTGGCTGCAGCAGAACCAGAGGCACAGAAGTAATATTAAAGCATGGCATATAGGGTTTCTGTTTGACCTGGCAGAGGGGGCCATGAAAGAGTGGGACCGACCAGGAAATGAGTGGCTGCCCCTCTCTTCTCGTGATGTGCACTAGAACTGAACATCTGGCTCCAACTCACCCTCCCATATCTGTACCTATCAGACTCGGAATGAACATCCAAGACTATGTCAAACCCTTCTGTAATCTTCACCAGCACTGTGCCTTCATTGAGCATGCTGACCACTTTAAGCCTCAGTCTCCCCTGTTACAAGGCATGAAAATGGTCTTGCTGCTAGAATTGGGAGGATTAAATAGAGGCAGAATTAATGCCTCTGAATGACACTTTTAGAATGTCTTGTGCTGATCCCAGTCAGCTGGCCACATGGTTCTCTTACAAAGATGGATGATGCTGTGCCTCGCTCAGGGTGGGTGTTGGGGTGTTCTCAATGGTGTGAGTTAGCACTAACTGATGGATGGTGTATTTTATTCTTTAAAGCATTTTGAATATTTTCTCTTTACTCCTCACTTCAGCCCTTTGAGACAAGTATGGCAGATATCCTTCCCTTGTACAACTAGGCAATTGAGGCAGAAAGAGCTAGTAACAGCCAAAATTGCATACTATTTTCATTGATAGTCTCTGCATTTTTGCCTTGTTCTGTGACCTGTGTCTCTGAGTTAGGAACAGACAGTGAGGAAGAAGTAAAGAGCAGAAAAGGAAGAAAGGGGAAGCCAGGTTTGAAAGAGCCTGGCTCTTTCTGAAGGCCAGGGATACAGATGAAGAAGACAAATACAAAGCTCATACTCTATACTATATGCCAACTCATCTTGTCAGTTTGCCTGGATTAAGAGACTCATGGAGAGGTGATTGAATTGTGGGAGCACTATACTTATCCAGGGAGTAACCCACTGATATTCATGGCGAAATTGGCTACAGGAGGTGAAACCCATTTGGAGGAGTAAGTCACAGGGATGTGCCTTTGAAAGATGTTTCTCTTGCTGGCACTCTTCCCTGTGCTCTGCTTCTGGCCACATAAGTGAGCAACTTTAATTCATCATGCTATTCCTCTGTGGTGTTCCTGCTTTGAAGCCAGCAAACCATGGACTGGACCATCTGAAACAAGTAGTCAAATTAAGACTCTTTTCCTTTAAGCTGCAGGTATCAGGTCTTTTGTCTCAGTAATAGGGAAGCTAATAAACATTGGTTTCTTCATGCCTGAGTTACAGGAGACAGATAAAGGGAGGACTGAAAGTTTGTCAATAAAACTGTGTGCAACTTGATGACCTTTTTAGAGTGACCTATATGAAGATAGTTGAAAGGATTATTTGAGGCCAGAGGATCCAAAGGTGACAAATTCAGGGATTCACTCTAGAATGTGGACCCTCTGGCTGACTGAGGACTCCTGCTCTATGCAGAACTCCCAGGGGGCTCGTTCTCCACATCTGCCCTTCTGTTGCCTGCCTGGCTGTCTAGATGAATTACCACTTGCCAGGGGTCCTAGAAATATCTTAGAATGACATTTGTCCCAGCCGCCTGTGTCATGACTAGGAATAGAACTGACTTAAACCAGCTTGAGATCCATTGGTAACAGATTTGGAGACAATCAACAGTCTTTGACAGCTCTAAAGTTCATGTCCCATGTGCCCTCTCCTAATGTTTTAAAATATATAATAATAGAAGAAAACTCTCAGTGATTAGAGTATCTATCTTAACATTTGAGATACGTTTCCTCCTTGGAAAGGAAGACATAAGAATAAACATTTTTGAAAGTCTGCTTCCAAAGGTTGTTATCAACTAACCTAAGGTGTTCTACCTGGGTAGCTTTGAGTGTGGTGATCAGGGACTCATCTGTGACTCCTGGAAAAGGCTGTGCTTTAAAAAAGCAAAGTTGATTGATTAGTATGAAATGTCATGGAAATGTCCAAGAGCTAACCCCCTGAGGTGATAAAATACTGGGTTTTGGGTAACCTGCCAAGCTCCCATGTCAGGATTAATTGGCAGTCATATTAGTAACAAGCATGATGCAAGCTGTGCTATTGTTGGCATATTCCTTTGATTTGTACAAAGTGGTCACGTGAAAAACAAAGAAACCTTAATAATTCTACCAATTATTTCATCATCTGTACACTTGAGTGGTCTGCTAACTGGAAAAGCTCAGGATATTTAAACCAAATGGACTGTACTTGTCGATTACTTAAAGAAAATATCACTAGAGATTAAGTCAGTATTAGAAGAATTTGTATTTTTGCATGATTGTACACTGCTTAACCCTTTTAACTTACAGTGAAGACTTTCTTAAATGCGACATTTTTAGACCTCTGTCTTTCATATTGAAATGAATTACATTTGTCCTTTTGTATCTATAGGGAATTTGTTTTGGGGTCCTCAAAGGATACCAAAATCCATGGATGCTCAAGTGTCTTACATAAAATACATACTACTTGCATATAATGCAGTACATTTTCCTGTGCATTTAAAATCATTTCTAAATTACTTATAATACCTAATACAAATGTATATAAATCATTGTTCACTGTATTGTTTAGGTAATAGTGACAGTATAAAAGTTCTTATATATTCAGTTCAGACAGAATATTTTTGCTGATATTTTTGACTCAGGGTTGTTTGAACCCTCAGAATTTATGGAGACAGAGGGCTGGCTATAGCAGAGGCTGGCTATGGCTTTGGGACTAAGATAAGAACCCTTAAGTCTCACTTCCTCTGCTCTTTTATTCCCTTCCCTCTGAAAGTGGAGTGGTAGGTCCTAAGGCAAACTCAGAATCAAGGCCAGCAGGATAGCTGGAGGCCAGCTGCAGGAAGTTGGCAGGAGCTGTAGAGAACAGCGTCAGCCACAAAGTTGGTTTTTTGGTGAGCCAAATGAAACACATCTGTGCGTGTCCATGGGTGGGACATGGTAAGCCAGTGGTGGTACATTCCAGGTTTAGGACCCCCGCCCCCAGGTTTAGGTTTCCTCCCCTAGTCCTAGTGGAAGTTTTGAGGCAGCACTATAGAAAGATACCAGCAGAAGAGCTTAGTTTTGAAAGTGGCTTGCACATGGTAGACAGTGTCTACAAGAATGCTTCCTGCCCAACTTAGCAATGCAGCTTTTCTGCCTGCCTTGCACCCCATCCCCACCACACACATCATCTTCTCTGCTGGCCAGACCACAATAGCCCTAAAGAATGTGCAACAGAAACACTATGGACCCTCTGTGCACTTGGGGGCTGGGACACAGCAGAATCCAGCACCTGCTTGGAGCGAAGACCTGCAGCATCCCTGGATCTCAGTCTAGGTCGATAGCTCCATCTGTGGAACTCAGTCTAGGTCCATATCTCCTGGCCTCCCAGGAGAGCCCCACACTCCTTTCCTTCTCATCTCAGAGTGGAGTCAACTTATTTGCAGACTTGGGATTCTGAAG